TGTTAATATCTTAGAATAACTAAATCCCCCAAATATTGCCATTACTTTACCTTTTACTCCCATTGGGGTCCTTGTACATGCAGTTAACTTTCACCCAAACAGTAATGAAAACCGTACAGAATTTTTCTCTACCACAGTAACTGTTGCTCTGGCTTTTTGAAAACTGTTTGTAAACTGACTGTACATCTGTCATGGTGCCTGGGGTGGTAGGATTTCACTACTTCCCTATCGCTTACAATGATGATCAGATGTTACGCTGATCTCACTCAAAGCAAACCCAAAGGCCTTTGGGCTTGATTTTTCCCATATGACTCTCTTTCTTTGGAATACTCTCTGTTGTTGTCTTGCTGATTGGATTTCATATTGTTGACTTGGAAGTTTTGAAGCCAAATGTCACCCTCCCTACCACTCTACTCTTAGCCAACTTGGATTGAATCTTGGGTTGATGAGGATGTTCTGGTCTTTGTCTATACAGATTTCCCCCACTCTCAGAAAGTAGAGCATTCCTATGAGACCTTTCTTAAGCCTAAGTGGCTTAAAGCAAAGGAGAAATTACCTTAGGACACATCTGGCTAACAGATGCACAAAATTAACGGAGATAAAGCCCAGATGCGCACAGACAGCTCAAAGCTGTGGCGGTTGATGCTGAGATGCTGAGTGTGGTTCCCAGGGAAGGAGCTTGGGGGCCACTCTCGCTGCTCAGGGTGCAGCTGCCTCCATCATGCAAAACAAACACTGGATGCTATTTCCCATTTTCACCTTTTTACGTAAAAGTAAAAATCCTCTTCAGATTTCTTTCACTTAGCAACAGCAGGAACTAATGTAGGTCTGTCGAAAGCCAAGTGGCGCAGGGCGAATTTTCAAAAAGCGGGGGACACCTGTCTAGGCATTTCACAGGGAACTCTGTAGGGTATCTGCCTGGGCTCCTTTGGCCCAGCTTTAACACTGCTATAAGCCTCGTCCAAAACTAAAGCTGTATAATTTTAATGTTTTTCAGATGGTCAAGACACAGTATAAATGTTTTGAACTTGACAATCCAAAGCAAAGAGCACCATCTCAAGACATGGTATAAAACAATAGTGTAGCTAAGGCATAGAGGTTAATACCTAGAAGAAGAGCATGGTGAGTGGGGAAGAGCAGGCTGAGTCAGGTGCAAATCCTAGCCACGGTGCCATTAGCAGTGTGACCACAGACAAGGTGCTCAGTGTCCGTGGTCTCAGGTTTTGCATCTCTAAATGGGAATGATAATGTTTTTTTAAAGACGTGACCACAGACAAGGTGCTCAGTGCATCTCTAAATGGGAATGATAATGTTTTTTTAAAGATTAAGTGAGAAGTTTATACACATATATAGTGCACTTGGCACAGTTTCTAGCACAATTAGAACATAGAACTAGAACATAGCAAATGTTCAGAGGATAATAGTTATCATTACCGTCTGTGATATGGGGTCATTTCTAATAAATAAGGAAAGTTACCCAAATGTTCTTGATATGAATTATCACTCTGTTAATTTTTTTATTCTGTCCATCCATCCATTCTCTTCTGGGTAGTTCTGTGGAGGAGACAGTGATGGAGCTTCAGTGAGTGGCTCAGAGTACCTCCTGTCAGAGAGTAAATGGTGTGTGTGGAAGAATAACATGCATTCTTTTAGATTAGGTCCAGAATTAAACTAAGACCTAGAAACTACTAGATCCATTCCTATCACTCACTACATATCACTTCAATGAGGGCTTTTCCCAGGTTAGCCACATCTCTTCATGCAAAGCACCAGTGAATTTGTTTGACATGACTGACTATGAAAATGGCCAAGTCTCTGTTTTCTGGGTGAGGATTTCTGTGCATCCTTTGGGTCGATTAGCTAGGATAAGCACACCAGGAAGGTTGCATCTTCTCTGTGCCGGGCACTGTGCTGGTTATGCTCATAATTTCATCTTCCCAACAACATTTGAGATTGGCATGAACGTTCTCACTTTATAGGTGAGAGAACAGAGACCACAGGAGTCAGGTCACGTGCCCACAATTGAATTGAGAGAGTAAACCAGAAGCAGCAAAGGCAGTTACACCCGCTCGCTTTTACCAGTTATTTGTTGTTTAGTGTCTGTTATTTGTCAAAATAATTTTGAACATCTGTATTACTACGAAAAGCATTTCTTAGCAAGACTCAGGAGCTCGAGGTAGCACCCTCAGCATCGGATCCAATTTCTTCCTGGGAGAAAGGCAGTGGGAATTTTATGGAAGGAATTTATACTCAATAGAAGTCTTTGACAAAGTAACTGAAAATAAGAATAAAAGGGAATAAGAAAATGCAATGTTTTAGATTTACAAAATACATTTGAAAAGAGTACTGTTGTGTTTTTCTGAAATTGGGGATTCTTTGATCTTGATGCTTAAAAAAAAAAAGAAACAATGCAAGAATATTTTAAAGGCATTTCTCTGGATCATATAAACAGTGTTGCCTATAAGTAAGCAGCATTGGGGCCACACTTAGCATATTTATAAATCATCTGAAAGAAGGAGTTTATGGTCAAATTCCAGATTTGCAGAAACTGCCAAGCTCCTCCAGGTAGCAAAATGCCAAGCTGACTAATATGAATGCAGAGAGAGTACACAGGGCTTTGTGAGTGGGCAGAGCATGGCAGATGGGCTTCTGCATGGACAACTGTAAGATAAGGAATTTAGGGAGAAATAATTGAAACCATCTTTCCAAGATCAAAGAGTTTTGACCTATCAACTATAACAAAATTAAGAGGTTTTGCAGCCAGTGTACTAGTATGTTTTTGTCCCTACTTATCCCTACCTCAGATGTGCTTTAAAAGGGCATTTTAGATCAACCAAAGGACTTATGTGCTAACATATAGGTCTAACCAATGGACACAGACAACAGGGGGGTGAGGGCATGAGGGGGGGGGGGATGGAGGGTAATGTGGGGATAAGGACACATATGTAATAACTTAATCAATAATAAAAAATAAAAGGGCATTTAAAGGGGGATTAAAGCAGAAAATTGTATCCTGCTCAAATGGAAAGACGTGGTTCACTTATACCTGGAATATTGTGAGCAATTTTTGTTTGTTTGTTTGTTTGTTTGTTTTTATTGTGAGCAGTTTTTTTCAACACCCCTGAAGCAGTTGTGCTAGAGTAGGAGATGGTGCAGAGAAAGTGGACTAAAGTGATCTCTGGGAAGAGGGCCTGCTTTACGTAAACAAACTGCAAAGTGTAGGACTCGTCAGCCTTGGAGGTTTATAAAATCAATGGGGTATGTGTGCTTGTGGACATTCGAATTTAAGTGCTAATTTAAAATCTAAATAAATGTAGGCAGAAAAGCCAATAAGCCAAGTAACAAATAGGCAAATAAAAATTCAAGGTTAGCATAGGATGAAATGCCCAAAGACATGCTCACCCCTCCCCCTTAAAACTTGAAAAGAGAGAAAAATATTTTTAAGAAACTAGTTACTTTGGGAACTAGTTACCCAAAATGAGTTGTATCCTGGAACATCACGTGGGCAGGGACAGGGTAAATACATTTTTTGTGAATGCATCTACATGTTGTATTAATCATGTTTGGAGATACGCCCAAACTTTGCAATTTACAAGCTTTGAAATCAGCAAGCCTGACTCAAATCTCAGAGGCACCTCATACTAGCTCTTGGATAGGCAACTCTGAACCACTTTGAACCTCGGTCTCCTTGTCTGTAAAGCAACAAGAAGCCCTTCTGGATAGGAGTGTTGGGAGGATAAAAAGGGCAGCATGTGCAAAGCTGCAGGAAGGGTAGGGACTGAGACTTTTCAAATCTTGGTTCCCTGTGTCATCTCTTCTCCAAGGTGTCCTTTGCAGCTCTGTCAGACTTAAAATCCTATCCGGGGGAGACCCGAGTCCCCCAAGTCACTGTGCTTGATTGTAACCCTACGTTACAACTTTTATCTAAATCAGTGGCTCTCAACCTGTGGGTCGCGACCCCTTTGGCGGTCAAGCGACCCTTTCACAGGGGTCTCCTAAGACCATCCTGCATATCAGATATTTACATTACGATTCATAACAGTAGCAACATTACAGTTATGAAGTAGCAACGAAAATAATTTTATGGTTGGGTCACAACATGAGGAACTGTATTTAAAGGGCCAGAAGGTTGAGAACCACTGATTAACATTCATTCTTTCCTATTCAGGGAGCTCCTGTTATTTCCAGTCAGGGCACATGCCCAGGTTGCCCGTTCAATCTCCAGTAGGGGGTGTGCAGGAGGCAGCCCGTTGATGATTCTCTCTCATCATTGATGTTTCTATCTCTCTTTCCCTCTCCTTTCCTCTCTTTGAAATCAATGAAAACATATTAAAAGGGGGGCAGAGAGATCCAGGGTAGAATAGGGTGTGATGGGGCTGAGGGCACAGTGCTTTAGTGAGGAGGTATGGGGGCCTCTGTGAGGAGACCACACTTGCACAGTGTCCAGAGGGGTGAGAGGCGTCATGTGACCTCTCAGGGGCCTTCTAGGCAGATGGGCAAATGGGGTAGAGGCCCCAAGGCGAGGATGTGTACCAGATGTTCAAGGAGCAGAGAAACCGGTGTGACTGAGCATCCTGAATGGAAGGGAGAGAGGCAGGGACACAGACACAGGCCTCCAGTGGGCAGCCAGCCCTGCTGGGCCTCGAAGCCAGGTCAGGACTGAGCTTTTATCCTAAGAGCAACAGCAAGCGATCGGAGAGTCCAGCTGGTTGGGGAGACGGCTTGCCTTTTGAAAGGTCTTTTGGCTCCTGGTAGAGGCTGGGACTGGGGCAGCCTGAGTGAAGGGGCACCATCTCCACTTTCTCCTCCCCCCACCACTGTGCTGCCCGACACTTTCTCCATGGCATTTCTACCTTCCTGGACTCGAAGGCTCACACTGATTTCACATCTGTCCCGGGGCAGAGGTAGCTTTGCACAAATCTCCTTTCGTTCCTTCATCTCTTAGGACCCACAGAAATCATTTTTCTCAAATGAAATAACCCAAATGTGTGTCGTTCCAGGTTTTAAAAATCAGTTTGATTGGCCACAGGAAACGTATTTTGGCGTCGCTGGGAGACAGGCTGCACGAGGACCCGCCCCAGAAGCCCCCTCGCTCCATCACCCTCAGGGTAAGTGCTCAGGATATTCCTGTTTTCTCCACGCCTAGCCCCCAAAGTTAATGTGGGGCAATAACATGAAATGACTGAAGCAATGAGTCAGGAAGTGCGGGCTGCGTTCCACACAGCTTACCTTACCCATCTGAAAAACAATCTCACTTCTGATTGTGTTTTGTAAGACAAGATTTTTTTCCCCTCGATTGGTTAAATATATATTTTTGAGATTTAGATACACATCAGACAAACCCCCACCTTTAAGGAACGCCCCCCCCCCCCCCATTCCCCCCTTACTGCCATCCCACACTCCCATCTTACACCAAGAGAGAGGAAATGAGTTTTCTGTCAGACTCCTCAAACCCACTGAAAGAAAATCGATCAGAGGCCACAGCTAAGTGAAGGTCAATTTGAAATTAACCTTAGGGTCTTCGGTTTTTTTATGAAGTAAATATTGCCCAGCCTTACCCACTTCAAAAATTAAGGTTAGAGAAGCTAGAACTAAATATTTAATAAACCATTTCAGCTATTGTTTAGAATTATGGGGCAGTACAACTAGAGAGAAATCCCACAGCGTGGGCGGGGGGTGGGGGGGGCAGAGAGAAATATAGTGAAAGGGAAGGGAAGCGAGGAGGAAAAGGCAGAGAGGAAGAGAATGAGCGAGAGAACGTCCAGGCGAAATGGAGCAGGGAGGGGCGGCCCGTATTCACCGGGTACCTGAGGCCTCCAGGAACTTTTTAAAAATTCATCGAAAGGTTGGACTGTCCATGAGCAGTTGGGGAGTTCCCACTCTGTGCTCTTTACTTAGTCCTGCACTTGGTGCCTGTGACTCCCTTTCTGCAAGTGTCAGAAAAGGGAGCGGTAATAACTGATGCGCACGGTGTGGCACTTCAACAGAATGGCCAGCAGTGTGATGCAGTAGAATGCCTCCTATCAGTGGATTTCAGCACACAGCTTAACCACCATGGTCCAGGCAGAGGGTCAGGCAGGAGAGGAGCTGTTAACATTTGAGTTGGGGTGGGGAGGGGGAGGGGAGGT